ACCAAAGGCAGCTTACTCAGCTCCATTTTATCTTTGCAACAACCTTATGAAGCAAGATGAGCCGAAACTGAGTGGCCTGCCCAAAGTCACCCACTGAGTTTCACGGCTAGATCCAGATCTCTCAGGTCCCCAGTCCAACATTCTAACCATCTGGCTCTCTACTCAGCTGTTGCAAAGAAAAGCCAGCTGGAAAAATGATTTAAAATAATAAGACTAGTTAAGGAACTTTTGGGAATGTGGTAGTCGTCAAGGGTTCTCCATCGTCAAGGGCTACAGGTGAAAAGCAGCTGTTAACACAGACATTTGGCTATTGAGGGTGTTGAACCTGTTTAAGTCCAAGGATACATTTCCATTTTGCAGAAGCAATCAGGGTTTGCACTCCAGTGGTGGGTGGAGTCCAAGGCAAAAGGGATGGAATCACAAAATACCAGCATATTAAATTCTACTACAGTAACTAAGCCCTAGGTGAAGAGACTTTTCCACCTTTTAGAGTGGAAAAAAACTCCACAAAAGATGAGAAACCACCAAATGGTGGTCAGGGGAATGGGGGTATGACCTTTTGGAGACCAGCAAAGCTGGATTTGGCCCTAAGGCTTCTGCACCTCAACCTAAAATGAAAAAGGAAGGAAGATGTAACTGTGAACAACTATTCCAAGAGTGTGCATTTCTAATCCCATTGGATTAAAACATTACAAGATCAACTTTAATACACCTGTATCTGTAATTCAAATTCTGATATAAACCCCAGTCATTACTGATTCAAAGTATTAAATTGGAAATGCATCAAGCATTGCACATTCAGAATGATTAATAAGTCCTTGTTCTTTCAGTCAAAGCTCCAGTGGTAAGCAACTATTTACTAAGCAAGATGAATAATAGGAAAAGGATGAGTTTCAGTCTTATTTTTCTGACAACCCTCACTTGGCAAGTCTCTTTCTGCTAAATGGAAAGCAAATTCAACATTCATCTATTATCTGTGGTAGATTAAAGTGCACTTGCTTGTTGTGGAAACCTGCTGGATAAATGTAATTAATTGTAAGATACTAAGCCAGAGTGTGCACATCTACGCCAGAACAATCTATTCCATCTTCAACATACCAGTGTTTATTTGACTCCAAACCAGGTCAATCAATATGGCCAGAGTACAGCAACAACTTATAGGATGTTCACATATTGAACGCTCTCCAGGCTAAAAATTTAAACTTGAAAGAGTAACAGGAAGGATCCACTCAGCTCTTCATAGTACCTTTGGAATGAATGGTAGGAAGGCTGACTTTCATGAAAATAAGAAGAGTAGAGTCAGATAGTTGTTCAGTGGTCTAAATCAGCCTTCCCAAACCTGGTGCTCTTCATATGTGCTGGACTACAGCTGACATCATCCTCAGCCACCACCATGCTGGTCTACTCAGACCAATGGCAAGATTGTTCACAATCCTCCTACCCAAACAGAGCCTTTGGTCTGAAGATATCAGGTATGAAACCTGAGAATTCCTGAATGCAACTTATGAGTTCTTCTCATGTGCTATGTTCTCCTCCAATAATTTGATTTATTAACAATCCAGATCAGGATCCTAGTATGGGAGCTGTCTGAGTTTTACCCTTTTCCCCTGCTATATTTATAATACAACTTGCATTGCCAGAAGGAACTATATTCAGGCAATTTAAACTACAGATATGGGGACTGATTATGACTAAAGCAATAGACAAAGGGATAACTGCCACTACTTCACGTCAGGGTCCTCATCCAAACTGGGGCCCTGCAATAGCATTCTATGAAGCACTCATGGTCTACTAACAATCCTATGAACAAGGTTAGAACTAGAGGGTTAAAGTCAGATGTAGCCTGTCCCCATTTCCTTTGTATTTCATACTTCATTTGGAATACCAAAACAGTTTCATTACTGTCCACAATGTTAGGCCAGCATGCCTAATAAAAATATTTTTTGTTTTTCTAAAATCAGCATAAACAGGGGTGTTTTTTTTTTTACTTAGATGTGAGAATCTGCAGAAAATCAACAGTTTTTTAAATATACCGTCAACAATGGATTGGTTTTTACCAAAGAACGCTGAAGAAATGCTTAACCTTAAAATGATTTCAGTACTGTACGCTATTCTACTCTCACACAATGATGCAGGCATGAGAAATTCTTTTAAAAATAAAATATGTAAATATAAAGAATACTCTAAGGTAGCTTAAAACCTGAGATTTCTGAAGCGAAGGTGTATAGTTCTGATCATTTTGAAGATATGTGCATCCTAGAGTCAAATCAACCTCCATACATATTACACTCTAAAATCGTATTATCATGATGGTTTAACTACAAGGGTTTGGCCCAGCTAAGGCACCTCACCTCTGTTTGGAGGATACTTAAGAAGTGAAACCACCTGCATCAAATCTCATATATATGTTAATGATTCCACATTTCATCACATATATATGTGTAGATTAGCAAAAAGCAAGCAAAAGAAAAGTTTACAGATATCAGTTGAGTCAAAGCATCTGCTGGTAAGTGTCACTCCCAGGGCAATTGTTCCTTGGACACCTTGTATGCTCCTAGTTCTGAGTAGAAAACCAAGATTTTGACCTCTTGCCACAGATTTTATACAATTCCTCTCTACCTATGGTTCAGGACTGTCGGTATATACAAGAGACCCCTTCTCCTTGGAGACGAGAGATGAGAGGGTAAAAGAAGACCTAGCTATCCAAATTAACTCAGCAAAAGGGTTATCTCAAGGATGAGGTGAGGAATTTGCAGTGCCTGATGGTTGACGATATTGTAACTTCACATTGGCTCTACACACGTCTCACAGTAATTAAGTCTAACAAGTATCTGTGGGTACACTTAATGCTTGTGCTGGACACTGGAAACAGTTCATACTAAACTACTCATCATAATATCTTCTGGCTATCAATCCCAATGCACATGTCCATGTCCAAACAAAGATTGCTATATTTGGTGATGGGGGCTTTCTGGAAAAAGTAGACATGAGGGAAAAAGCTTGGGCATGGGCTAAAAGCAGCTACCCTTTACTACTCTTTTTGCTACTTTGCACTACTCTTGCAGAGTGGCTGACTTTTGGAATCAGTGGCTTGCATGGAATACATGCCAGCCCATCACTGTTCAACCAATCCCTGGAGCAAGCTATGGGTTATCAGGGTGTGCAGACTTGTTGTAGGTAGTCATCTGAATGTGTACATGAGAGCCACGGGTAGTCATTCATAATGGGTTGATTGTGTCAGTCAAATACAGTGATTGGTTCAGCTGCCAAAATGTTGAGCAGAATCTGATAGAGAAGGCGGTTTGATCTACCTTGCAGGATTGGCACCAGCTCTGTAAGTGCTTGCAGAATTAGGACCAGTGCAATAATGCAAACCACTCATTTTTGCAGGAGGCACTATACAAGGATTCTCAGTCCTACCCAGTTTTGCCACAGCAGCAGGAATCTTTCTGGTAGGTAGTCTGTGGTCCTGATCTGGCTTCTGCTTCAAGTCCTGCAGTGTTTTCACTTGTGTCTTCCTTCCTGTTCCTGACTCACTTCCTGACTTGTTCCTGTAGCACAACCAGAGTGCTACAATGGAAAGGGCTCTTTTCTTTCTCTTTTCTTAATAGCTGCCTGCCTCACTTCATTTGTTGTAGGGCCTCTAAAGACAGTCTTATATGGGAGAAGCCAATCTTGCAGGTAACATTGCTCCCAGCAATTTAGGGCTTTAAAAGGTAACACCAGTGCATACAAACATGGTGCATACATCAATTTCTACACTGTGCAATAGCGAAAGCTCTTCGGGATGAACTCCCTAGAGAGGCTTACTTGGTACCTACACTGTGGTCTTTCTAGCACCAGATGAAAACCTTAATTTTCTCAGATATTGTTTCAAATCTGTCAATGCTTGATCTTATCCAAGTTTAGACAGAAAAAAGCATGCCCCATGCTGAGAGTTCCAGCTAAACTTGCATGAAATTGCACCTTTCACGCAAGTGTGTTTTAACTTTTTGTTCTGTTGATAGATTTTATTTTTATTATTATTTGATGTGGTTTTAAATGTTTATATTGAATAGGTTCAGACAACACAACGAACCATGGAGGTTTTTTACTACTGTCGGTCTGTTGTGCTGTCTGAACCCAGTTGTGGTGTTTCATCATAGTAAATTTGGTCTTCAGAAACCATGATAAGGAACCGTGGTTTGTTCTGTGCTTTCCTGAACCCAGAATCATGATTTCCACAGTCCTGGTATGCAACTGCTTTAGTGTCCCTTAGAAAGCCCAGCAAACCACAGAAGCCACTCCAGCCAATATGTGCAGGCCCATGAGGAAGAAGCAGGGAGGAAGGAACGCATTTTGAGACTGAATTTCAGGTGTGGTGGGATACATGCCAACAGTGGAAGGACCAATCAGGAAGGACGGAAACCAAGATAACACACAGGGCTGCTTGTCAACTACTTGATCATCTCTCAGGTAGATCATGGTAAAAAACTACAAAACATAGTAACCACACAGGGTTGCTTGTCATGTTTTGCAAACCCAGCTATTCTATTGTACTGTGTTGTATTTTATGCATTTAATTGCTGAGTGTCTCCCAGAGGGCTTTGGTTACTGGTCAGCATTGTAATGCAATAAAATTAATTGAAAATAAATCCCATCAATTAAAAAAGTTGCAGTCAGTTAAATGTGCTTAGTATTCTTCCCCAACTTTTTCACAACAGTTTAAAGTACTGCTTTAACTGTTGAGTGTTTTGCAAGAAGAAAAGGCAGCATTCCTTTTGAAAATGTTCAGCAAAGACAGCTAAACTTTACAGTACTTACAAGTGGTGAAGTCTGAATATAAATGAGCTGGAAGACCTAGCTGGTTTAAAATGATGAATAACAGCAAGAGAAAAATGTTATTTTAATAGTGTCTACTTTTTCTGAGCATTTCCAATGAATAAAAAGCTTTAAGAATCCTAACATTTCATAGAAGATTACAAATGCCATACTAACATGCAGATTATGGGGTAACTTACCTTCTTTATTGAGCCATTGCTTTCGTTGTCTAAAGTGAACTAGTTTGTTATGGACATATGGCAAGAGAAACTTGACACACCAGCTTTCTACCCCAAGTTTGTTTTCTACCAAGATGATTGGACTCCGGTTATATCTGGCTTCAGGACAAGGAATTAATCCAATTTCGTCTCTTGAAATAGAAAGAAAATAAGAATATAATTATGCAACTGTTTCCTCTTTTTATTGATTATCTTCACACTTTTGGATGTTCTTCCCTTGGATCAAGTAGCAGAACAAGCTAACTTGAAAGTCCCTTCTGTTGCAATTAACAATACCATCCTATTCAAGTTGATTCAGAAGTTAATGACCCTTTGTCTTAAGGACTTTATCTCTGTCTTTGTTATAGTTTCCAGCTTGTGAATTAAAAATGAGCCTGGGTTAATTTCCTACCAAACCTTTTGTAGCTCCCAGACTTGCTTACTTGGAAGCAAGCTTCACCAGGTTCAATTGGATAGACTGCCTGATAAATTTGCTTAACAATGGAACTGAAAGCACCCCCTTTGTCCAGTAAAGTGTGCAGATAAGGTATGATTTAGTATTTACTTCATTAGCTTGTCATAGAAATTTATCAACCTGTATGTGACTAAATACCTATGTCCATTTTTACTGCCATGCAGCAAAGTGGAAAATGTGTAGTTTTTTCTTCTTTTTTAAAAGAAAGAAGGGCAAAGCCATTTTAAGCACAACAGAGCCTAAGAACATGTTACTAAGCTGATGAGTTTTAAAAACTTAACTACAGAACAGTCTAATTATCTTTTATCCCACCTGTCCTCCAAGGATATGCTGACCTATATAGTGTGTGACCCACTATATTCTCTCAAAAACCCTATGATGAAGGTTTGGCCAAGAGACGATAATTTGTTCAAGGTCACCTGTATGCTCTGTGGCCATTTGGGAATTTGAATCTAGGTCAGCACAGCCTGAAGTCCAGCTCTCTAATCCAGTGGAAGCCAACTTCTTTGGTCTGTCGGCACATTCGGCAATTTGAAACACTCTCAAAATGGCTGCTATGAAAATGGACAAGCAAGCTGCCCCAAAGACTAAGTAAAGGGATAAGGTCTGATCTCAACACAAAGAAACTCTTAGTTTTCAACACCAGTAGAAAGGTACTTCACAGCAACCCCAGAAAGAAAATTCATTTGTTATTATTTTAGTGGGACTGTAGGGCACCTTAGTGAACATTAGAACCCATTTTATGAGGCAGAAAACTGAGACTCATCATGATTGAAAACTAAAGGAGCTGTTGGCAAGTTAAATGGACTGAGAGACTAAACCATGAATATTACAGAGTCACTACAAAAAGCATCTTGTTTACATTGTATGTAAGGCACCATACTTCTCTAAAGCATACATATTTATACAATATCCCCAAAGCATACATATTTATACAATATGAAATATAGCTGACAAAACCTACTTCTTGCTTGCTTAAGTCTGCCATGCTGTATATACTTATCAAGGAATAAGTACCATCGAGTTCAATGATGTACAGAACGCGCTGAATAGAATTTGACTGTAAAAATTCTAAATCAGGGTTACTGGAAAGTACTTCAGAAGTTTTGCAGTCACAGTTCAACCCATCCAGAGGCACCAGGCTGAAGAAAGTTAACATATTTCTTAATGCAAGAATTAATGTAACACAGCAAAAACAACATGTGGCATCACACAACCATGGCAGGATATGAACTGTCCTGAACCGAGGAAGGTAAGCATTTTTCAGCACAGGAAGCAGTATGCATATCTTACCCCAATTAGAAGTACTGATATTTTTAAAGAACAGCAGCTGTGAGTTAGTCCCATTGCTATACAACTTACTTTATGAACAGACTTCCAAATGCACATGGTAAGGATTAAAGTCAAGAACATGCACACTGAATTTGGAAAACTGAGCAGATTCTTAAAAACAAAACAAAGGGAGCCCAAGTAGTTTTGCCCTACTTTAGTCAGAAAAGCAGAAATGAGCACAACATGTCAAAAATGTGAGTGAAAAATAGGAGCAAAAATATGAGGGTAATGTTTAATTTATAACTGTTACAAAAATAAAAAGTTATCTTCCTTTAAAGAGATTAAAGTCATCTACTTGAAAGCAAGTAAAAAACAAATCCAGAATGAAAAACACCATGATGCAACCCAAAAACCCTGCTTGAAAGTGGCTGCCTTTATCACAGAAGCAAATGTGCCAGGAATCTAAGATTATAATGTGTGGCTTCTTATGGTATTCACATGTACTGATAACATCTACTTGCAGCTGAGCAATGTATGAAGCCAGCCTTCATCCAATGAGCAACAGAAGTTATCAGTTTATCAGTGACTTTTCCTGATGGTGAAATAATACCTTAATTTAATTTCACCCCAAAAATACAATGTATTCTAAAACTAATTTCTTCTACTGCTACACTGCTTTTCTGCCTCCACAGAAAACTGGTGGGAATGGGAAACTTGACCTCTGAGAAACAAAAGACTCCAGCAATCATCAGATCATTTCTATAGCTTCCAAAGAACTTCTTTGGAACCCAGTGTCCTATCGGGAAGATTTATGAAATTTTCCCTGCTGCAAGCACTTATATGCTACAGTTTAAAGATCAGCAGTTAACCAAGAGATGTTCCATTTTAATTTAAAATATGTAACACAGCTTTTGTCTGCAAGGTAGTAAACAAGAAGTACAAAAGTTATTATTTTTCTTTATTACATTTCTATACCACCAAATAGTGAAAGTTATGTGAGCATTTAAATAATAAACATTTATTTTCTACAAGAAGCATGGTCAAAACTAAGAATACAATAACACTGAAACTGAAAGATCAGAATCAGTACAAAAAACAAAGATGAAATTCTTAAAACCGTATCCTGCAAAACACTCCCCCAGATTGCTGAAAAAAGTGTTGGTTGTTCATTAAAAGAAAAATATCTTTTGGCAGGGATTTTCATAGTCTTGATACCACCACAAAGAAGGGCCTGTCTTTTACTCCTCCTGCCATATTTTCAGAAACTGGGGAGGATATCAAGAGTCTACAAAGGATAATTGTAGAAGCAATTCTTCAGATACTCTGGTCTCAAGCTATTTAAGAATTTAAATACTGAAACTATCACTTTAATGCAGTGGGTTGTTTGTTCTGTATGAACCAGGTCAATGAATCAGATCTATTTTGCTTTTGTTCTTGACAAGTATGCCTCATAAAAAGCAATGTAACCAAAGCACAAGCACACCTCAGTAGCAAAAACTGAGAGTATGTTCACAGTTTCCTCTGCCTTACTTATTACATTGACTAAGTTGAATAAATCCTTTCACAGCATGCAGAATTTGCCTTAACTAGTCTACTTTGAGAAAATGGTGAAACAACCTAATAAGATCCTGGCACATCATCTTAAACAGCAAAGCAATTAAAAGTTATTTCTGCTTTAAAGATGAGCATGATATGGCACATAGTACTCCCAAAGGTCTAAACTCAAAGATTTTAAAGTTTATTCCAATTTGAACAGCATGGTTAATGGCATATTGGAGCAGGTTATGGATTTTTTTTAAGTTTATCATCCATGTTTAGATTCCTCATAATGGCACACTTGCTTATTGAGGAAATCAGAAAAACAATTAAAACAAGAAACATTGGGAAACCATTTCATCTGGATGGGTTTCCAATTAAGTGATATAAACCATTTTTCCAGTCTTTGGTCCCAAAGCTTTATCATTTCTTTAGCATTTCTATTTTTAATCATTACTACATGATGCTTATATCACTGTGCATACTAAGGCTGCAAATCATCAAACTTATTGAACTATCAACCTGTTTCATTCATTAACATTGATATTAAAACAATAACTGCAATTTTGGCTCTTAGATTGCAACAAGTTAATTCAACTCCATGTTGAACACATCAGGTGGGGTTTATTTTAAAATGGAGGTTGATAATCTTAGATGAGCTATTGATCTGACTGTTTTAAATACTGATGAAACATTGTGAGCTGCCGTGGTTTCTTTAGATGCCAAAATTTATTACCTGTGTTACATGAAGAAATTTTATACTTGCCAGAACACTCCCAACATATAAACCATCCTAGGTATAATATTCATCTTGTGTATTAACCCTGTCCCATAAACTGAACTTTAGAAATACTTATTTTTCTATATAGATAGATGGATATTTCTAAAGCTTTTCAGTAGAATTTTTGAAGTGGGTCAACATTTTATATTCAAGTTATGAACATGAGTTTTTTGGATTTTTGTATTTGTGAGAGGAACCAGAAAGAAATGTCCACTTTTTCCATTTGATTTATAATTTGGAATCCTTGATTATGACTTAAGTTTGGAACATCTGGTGTATGCTATAAGAATAGTAATAGCCATGGATATGTAAATAATCTTTTAGAATTCAAAATTATTCTTTATGTTGATGACCTTTTACAGTCACTCTCAAGCTAGGAGTCATCTGTTCCAGCTCTGATGCAGGTGATTAACACTCTGGGGAAATTTGTCTGGCTCTTCGTGTAATTGTTCAAAGTCTGTACTGATGCTGACTGCAGATACTGTATCTCGTATTAGCTATCTGACAATTTCAGTGGTGCCCATATCTTATTAATTATTCCAGAATACTCATTCTTACAAACATCTCCAATTATCAAGCTAAATTTGATCATTTTGTGGGGATGCTTGCAACCCTCGGAACTCAGATAATTATAGACATTCTATAGAGGGCAGGAGGACTGAGAAGCAAAAGTTGCTATCACATGCCTTTTGCTTTGCAAAGTATATAGTCCGCTGATTTCAAGCTTGTAGCTGGGAATCCAAAAAACCCACTATAAAGGTTCTCAGCACTTTAAAATGGATAGATTTCCTTCACAATTACAGTGGTCTGAGAGCTGTGGCATATAATATTATACCATGCCAATTACACTTTGATTCATTTTCTAGAATTGACTCAAGGGAGAAATCAAGATTTAGAAGTTGGTAAGAAACTGTTCACGTAGCAGGCTTAGATAACAGTATCCTTACTTTGGCTCAACTGGCAGGTACTAATGATATGTTTTGGTCATCCTTGCCTTTGTGCCAGATACAATTTGCATGCTATGGCCAAATAGTAATATTTGCAATGACAATATTTGTTAGAATCTAGGCTTGGCCCTGCTGCATTTACAGCTTCAGAATTTCCTTTCCTATTGGAAGTACTTACTGAAATTGATCAGTTGTAGTGACACACAATCAATTCTCATATATAGCTATTATCAGTCAATAAATATGATATGCAAGGAGGAAGAGAGCAGAGAACTTGACTGCTGTAGTCTGACTTACCAATAGATTCTTGGTATTGTATCTCTGCCCAAATTGTCAATGGATCTTAGGCAAGTCTTATTCAACAAAAACTTTTGTTTCATGTTTATTGGGCACTACAATATCTTTTAGTATGGATTTGCCCAAGGTGGGTAACTACTGGAGATATACTGATAATCCATCTCTTATCCATATGCTTTAGAAAGATCCAATAGTTGCTTCTTTCAGGGAAGAGATCATAATACAGATAGACCAAGTATTGGAATGTCCTTAAAATTAATGACACACTTGTTATCTTAAACTATTTACCTGTTGCCTGAATGTTAATGGAAGGTCAGATTTTCTGTGACCTTTTTACACCTACAAGTTTGACATCAGTCTCTTAAACAGAATGAATTGATGACCTAATGATTCTTTCTACATTTGATGGAAACTCAGAAACTAACAGTGAATGAATAAATACAGATATCAGATCTGCTCTTCTTGATACTCATACAAATTGTTTCTATCAATAGTTTTATTTTCATATACTTATATATTCATAACTATACATTTCACATGAACCCACTGTTAATGATTCATTATAAGTTGAGCAAGAAAATTGTATTTTCCTCTTTTATCTTTTGGTCTTTCTTTATTGAAATTCACAAAATATGATTACTAATAATAATAGTGATAATGGTTCCCCAAACCACAATCTAGGAAGGCAGAACACAAAGAAATTTCTGACTTAGATAGGTTCTACAAGGAGGTTCAACTTTTTAAAAATTATCTCAAACTACATCTTCTTACTCAGTATTTTAAATATTTGTTGTGTAGCAATGTGAACAGGTCTCCATAAGTGCAAGACTTTAAAAGCTAGTCAATGCTTCCGCGTTAATGTAATGTCTATTTAAGACCTGCATAAAAATAAAAAATGCTTATGCATGATTGAAACATTTGTTTCCAATTGCCTATCATCTGTCTGTTCAACTACCTTCATAACATGTAGAAAACAGACATTAATCTTAAGTAACATGCTAAACAATGTGCAAAAGCTTTGGATCATGTGATTTTATTGCCCAATTTCAAACATGCTCCTCCCCTCTACATGTTATGGAAGTAACTACAGAGACAGAGATGGAGCAATGGGTACTCAATTTTCCTTTATCTCATAGTGGCATTTGCAAACTATTAAAAAATTAAAACAAAGAAAAACACTAAAGGTGGAAAATGTGTTTTTGGCATTTATTAATTTTATCAGGCTCTTTGAATTTTAAACATAATTTGTTCCACATGTTGACTACAGAAGTTCTAAATTTTGAAAATGACAAAAATCTTTTAAAATAAGTTAACTACATTAAATTATTTAAAATACAGTTTAAAGGGTTTAGATCTTAAGACTTATATGTATTAGTATTACTGAGCATCAGCAAGTTATTCCCACTTGACAACAGGATAAATGCATGCTACTTGTTCAGGTAACTCTCTTTCTCATATCCCTTAATGATTATTGTTATTAAAGGTGCTCAGTGGATGTAAAATTCTATTGAGAAAAAATTCGACAAAAGCAGGGCTGACACATCATAGAAAAATTAAGTATGGACACTGTAGTACTCTGTAGCGGGCATCTTTGGAAAATCTTAGAGCAATTGCTGAAGAAGCAATGTTTTTTTTGGGGGGGGGCTTTCCCCACTAACTGTATGGCATTCAATCTTGTTACTTCATTGTCACACACTCAGGGAAAGCTTAAATAAGGAAAAGGCTTAATACAGAAAATAAAACCCTTAAATAATACCACATAAAAACCTTGAAAGTTACACCCAGGGCCAAATACACTGTGCTTGATTTTTATGCCTTTCTCAGCATGCTGTTATTTGTACCTTGTCGTACAGAATAGGTCATACCATAAGGCATGCTCTTGCTGTACTTTGATGCAAAGCCTCGCTTCCATTTTGTTATTTCCAGCTCTCTCCCACCGGTCCCTTGCTTCGCTCCTGAAGTTACTCTCTCACACAGGGGCAGAAGTTCGGCAGTGGGAGATGAGAGGGAGCGGTTGGCTGAGGCCAGCAGCATCACCTCCAATACGGAGAGCCACTAACTTTGAGGCGCTTTCAGAAACTCAGCCAAGCCTCCAACGGCGCTGTACAGGGGAAGGTCGGATCCTGCTACCTTCGTCCCCAAAGCGGAACGAAGGCGAGGACAAACCCGGGGCGTTCTAGAATGCGCCGCCGGCATTCTATTCTACTGCGCGCTTGCCGCACGCTCATTCACTCACATGTGGGGGTTGCGCTTGAAGGCGTTGTTAATGTCCTTCACTACTCGTTGCACCAAAACCGCTACCTCCTCCGGGGACTCGGCCATCTTCTGTCCCCACCGCCACCTCTTATCCCTCCTGCCGCCGCGCGCTGCAGCTTACAACTGGCCGCGGCGGTGGCGCCGTCCTCTTGCATAGGCAGGCCGGGGAAAGCAAAACGCATCCGGGTCAGCGGCCCCCGCAGGGCGGAGCACGGAACTTGGAGAACCGAATAACCTAACAAGCAGGCACCGCCTCTTTTTTCATTTGGCCGGAGCAAGAGAAGGTGGAACTGAGCGCGGGGATAAGGAGGGAAAATTAACGTTCAGAAGCGCTAGTTGCTTTTATTCAAGGCAACTGAAAATATCTGCCCCTCCTGCTTGCTCTGTCTAGCTCTCCCAATACTCCTCCCACTGACTTAGGTACCATCTCCACACGCCCTCCTCTTGCCAACTGTTGCAGTGCGATCCTATATCATGCAAGGTCCTATTTAAGTAATTCCCATTGAGTTCAGTGAAGCTTACTACCAGAAGAGTGGGTTTAAGATTGCAGCCAATCTAACACTGCAAGCCCATATGTATTTACCTAGGATTGAATAAGAACTCCTTGGGGAGTACTTTTCTGTAGACATGTACAGCGTTGCTCTGTAAATTGTCTTTTTTAAAGATTTTCAATCGTCATACGCCAGGGTTACTAAGAATCCTTAGGGAGAGAATCTTTTCAGTTCATAACAGGTAAAGTTCTAGGGAATCCAGTGAAGTTTAAGTCCAAATAAGTATTCATAGAATTGTTACCTTCAGAATAACCATGTGTAGTATTTTGCTGAATGTGTACTTTAGACTGTAGTATTCCAAACAAGTGCTACAAAATGAAGTGTTACTTTTGAATAAATATGTTTGCAGCCCAAAACATAGTTCAGGGCATGATCTAGCCCAGCCTTCTTCAACCTGAAGTCCTTTATCAGATATATGTCATAAGAACTTGCATCACCCCAGGCAGCATGGTCAGTGATCAAGAATGCTGGGAGTCATAGCATAAAACATCTAGAGGGTACCAGACTGAGGAAGGCTAGTCTAGTTAAACCTTCAAAGTTCAAAGCCATCCCCTTTAGTTGAAGCTAAAAATTCCTGTTTACTGTTGAAATTACTTGAATTTGAATGTGGCTTTCTTTATTTGGGTCATCACCCCAATCAAAATGCTAGGGTGCAATCTTATGCCTGCACTTGGAAATAAGTGCTATTGGAGGCAATGGAAATTGGCACATATGGGATGAATCGTCTATCTGTAATCTACACATATTTACAAGAAATGCCAGTTGAACTGAAGATACACTTCCAAATGCACTTGTTAAAGATGAAAATAGAAAATATAATAATGCACGTACACCTGATATGCAGATGCTGCAATGTGCACAATACTGTACTCAATAACAGGGAAAACGGCCAACAATAGCATATCCATTTTATAATTCTTTACAGATGTAAAAGATTTCATATATTTTAAAATTTTAAATTTTAAAGATTAAATATTATAGGAAGAGATTTTAAAATATTTCATTTCTTATGATCACAGACCAGCAAGATTAATAAGCGGTGGGAGCTTAACGTGTCCGCATAGAAGAAGGAAGGACAGATGGCTGACACCTGTCCCTACTTCTGGTTTTGCTCCCAGCCAGAGGGTGCCAGGGAGTCTTGTCAGTCGCCCCTCGGGCCTGACGGTGCTGTTGTTTAATGCCAGGTCGGCCAATAACAAATCTGCCCTCATCCATGACTTGATTGTGGATGAGGGGGCCGACCTGGCCTGTATAACGGATACCTGGGCGGGCACAATTGGGAGAGGGCAACATCCCCCCTCTCTCCCGCCCAGGT